ACGCGTGCTTCTATCCCACCAACCCATCTGTTTGAACCTGCACCGGCAGGTGGGTGTTTTCTTTGATGAGCACCCGATCGCAGTGAGATCATACATAGATAACGTGTGTGGAAGATGAATGGTCGATACGGTGATCTTGCCTTTCATCTATCTAACTCTGAAAGGCGCTCCACTCCACACGCACCTTGATAGCAGTAAGCTGTCGTCTCGGTGCATAAGCGAATGAACAATTTCAAAGAACTTGTTACGTCCTATCACTCAACAGCTCTCCGGTGATAAATCATGGGGGAAGGGTGGAGACGAACGACGTGAAAACTTTGACCACACCAAGTGAAAATTATTTTTCGCGTTATTGATAACACTTTAGGTGAATTCATCTTATCACATGTTTAAATATGATTTCAGATTTATAGAACTTAGTGAATACGCAAAATAATTGTATTAGTAAAAGAACTAACCGATCACTCGCGCCAGCCTCAACCACGATAGCATTTGCTGTATGAGAGTAGTGAATGATTTGATTCGGTTATACGGCACTAGGCAGTGGTGGATTTCACCATGTGCAAAGCACACGAAGCAATAACTGAAAAGTTTGGAATCACTGTACGGTTGATTTGTTTCATCGACTGGTGAATCCAGCAGATCAACTGAAGATCAAACCCGGGGTCTCACAGGTAGAATGAAAGCTTGCTACCCCTGTGACTTTCACTACATGATGTGCTTTCATTCATAGCTCTATTAAACTCTTTGGAATACCCTTCCAAACATCCTCATTTTAGAAGACGTTTGCATGGATTGAAAGAAATGACGATTTCTTCATTACAATCTCTGGCCACTCTTGTGAACATAATTAGAACTAAAGATTTTTTCATTATAACACAGGAAAATGTTGATGTGAGAAAATGGTAATTCAGTATATTGATACTCGAACACAACTTTTCATAACCACATATTCTTTCTTTAATAAAGAGCTATAAACGAGTCGAACAAGAACGATTTGTACTACTCTATACAAAAACTTTATCGAACTTCTTCAATGTTTTACAAAACACCCAGTACAGATTTGATGCGTATATTGGTGTATTGGCTACGAATATGCATTCATATTACCGCTCACACTTCTAACTTATCTGTTTAACAAAGGTCGTTATTCATTAGTTTTCATGTAGCTGCTCACCATGCTGCTCACCAATAAAACCATTGGCTGCACTGTACACCTGTGTCATTAATCTTATTAGGAATCAGTGGCGGCGGACCTTCATAGAACCCTCTGAAGTAGGCGCTGTTTACCGCTTCAGCCTTGTAATAGAAACCTACATCGGAGTCGTGAATCAGATTAACCTTCAGTGATATGTCTCATACGACAACGACGCATGAGCACTTCTGCACAGGGTAGTGATCGCTCTTAGCCTGAGCTTGTCTGGATGGTCCAGTCGGTCAACATTTTGGGTTAATAATCCCGTGTACCAGGTTTCCAGTGTAAGCGGATCCGGTGGATCTGTGCTTTTTACGGTTCTTGATGAGGATAACTCTTCGATTAAGTGCCCCCGATGCGTTTTATATGACACGTTGATTCTGCATGACGGATTCATCTATGTAAAATAAACCAATCAGCTCAACAAACTATCGTATTCAATCAGTCTTTAGCGGCAGAAAATTTCGGAACAACGCAAGTGGTGTCCAGCATCCGAATGCCCTCAGAAGGGATATCAATAAATGGTACTTAGAGTTAATACCGATCGCAACTGTTACTGTCACTACAGCTGTTGACCTTTTACTCGTCCTAAAATGTTATTCACCTGAAAACCTTAGCGATTTGAGGAAAAGCATTCGTTTGTTTCCATGGTATCGTGAAATAACGATGCATCGCAAGCGGCTCAGTAGCTAAATTCCATTATGCATTGACTCCCTGTTCTGCAGATCATTTTTTCCTCATTTATGCAAAAAAAGACCTTTTTGTCACAGTGCTACATAAGCGTGATAGAAATGCGCTCCAATTCAATACAGTCCACTCCCCTCCACCCCCCTCTCTCGCCTCAAATCATCAGTTCAGACAATAGTTCCAACCTCGCTCCTCTCCCCTCATTCGGTAGCCTATAGTGAGTGAAACCCTGTTCTAACTTCCACTTCACGCATACATACACACACACAGTTCACCAAGGCTGTGGTGAAGCTGTGACAAGGGGACACGTGTAAAAGGCGAGAAACCGCCATGATTGGTTAAAGTACACACGATGCGTACGCATACGCATGCATTGATATCTGATTGGTGGACCAGTCGACCACCGCTCGAATATGAGTCGGGAGGCTGCAAACCAGTGGCTACTTGCTAGTTTTATCACTTGTACGTCATTTGTGCTGTGGAGTCTATTGCTATTCCGTGAAGTCATAATGACACATGAAATTCCTCGGATTCCATCAAGCATGCCTGAAAAACCACAGGAGGCCCCAACCGTCCCAGTACCCGCAGTGAGAAAGTCAAGACGTGGAAGAAGATCAACCGTGCCACCGGAGCAACGTGAACACGTGAGACGGGTATGTACATTATCTTGAAGTGTCTGGCGCATGCTCATAAGACCGGGGATTTTCAATACTTTTGTTAGGAATGCAAATTCGAATAACTTCTCGTCACATGACAGACTTTCATTAGGACAGTTAGCACTTCTATAACGCGAATCGAATTGATTATCGTAAACTCTATTTGTGTTGTCCTGCAGGCCTCACTTATCCGGTCACATACCAGTTTTTATGTTTGATAAGACTAACGCGAACTAAAACCAAAATGCAAACTGATCATTGTGATCTTTTTTTCCGAACGTTTCAACAGTTGTGGCAACTTTTTACTTGGTCTGGTATCCCTTGAGTCCGCTGTCAATTGCTACAATCCATATCCATCTACACTGGAACCAAGGTCACCTGAAACGAGCTGTTTAGGGTTTCGATAGGCTAATGGATCCTGTTGATTTGTCATTGGCCTTTATTTGATACTGCATGATGTTTTGTGAAGTTTGTATTACTACACTTCTAGGCAATACGTCCTTGGTCGGTGGTTGATTTCATGGACTGATCATGTTATATGCCTGCATAGTAAGTTTTCATCGGTTTTACTGCTTCCGCAAAAAGTTGAAAGAATGTTCGACATAATCATCAATTTGACCCTCTTTTAAGAAGTCATGATGACTCCGATAGAATCTGCCGAATTCATGAGGATCAGTATGTTTCGTGGGATTTAGGCACAGAAGACTTCACCCAGTGTCACCCGGCTCTTTTCTGGGGGTGCACCTCTGGTGTCTGCACAACAAAATGAGGGCTAAGATGCAGCACTGTTGCTGCATATTTACCGCTGCTTCCATTAGGAGCTCATTCGTCACTCCGTAGTCGTGGATGCACCTAATGTATTCGTGCTGCCCTTTTGGTTGAACAAACTCCCTTCACAGCTGTTGGAATAGGCAGTAATTATCATCCGACCACTAAGGAGTAGCTGTCTTCACATACTACAGTCTGTCTCTGTGAGGGGTTGAGGTCTTAGTTCCCCTCACTCTGTTTGAGTCCGCCTGCAAAGCAGTTTTTCGGGGCATAACCGATGATATATTCCTCAGCTTCTTGCAGCCACAGCTGAGAGCTGAGTAAATGAAGGAGACAACGAAGGCGATGGAATGTAACAAAGAATATTACTTTTTTTCAGATAAGGGGTGCCACTTATATCATATTTCCCTAACAACACTAACTGCATCCGGTACACAACAAGTATCGACCCACATAATATGTAATGTTGAGCGCACTAGGGTGATGTAACTTGCTGGTTGATAGTTTTGCTATCTTTCTTGCGAGAACAGGGCATTTAACAGGGTCCTCTCATGTCTCACGTGATCGAAGTGAATCAGAGTGAACCGGAGCTTACGGATATCTGATTTAGAGACTTGGTGTTCATGATACCATCTAATTAATTACCACATATGATCCGTTTTATCGAAACAATTGAAAGTTCCTGTAAGTTCCATGACGGAGCAGCAGGTCTTCGTGTCTTTGGGGTCCGCCCCGTCTGCTGTTCACCACGCAAATGTGTTTATACACACGTTAATTTATTCTACAAGGAAAATATGTGAAAGCGAAAGACAAAGTTTGGGTTAACTGACTTGACGTTGGAACTCCTGAGTGCGGAATACCCTATAATGTCACCAGAAAAATGTTGTTTATGGTTATTTTAAAGTTCTAGGTATTGCTGTCCGATTGGCCTAATCAATTAAGCACACCTGTCAAACGGATTAGAGGACATCATAACTAATGTTGGCCTAATTATGACCATATTGACAGTTTTGTTTCAGTCCACCAATGCACACTGATCTTTAAGCTCAGAGTTCGGATACACCCACCCGGTTGATGACGATTTCGGTGCGAATGGTACTACTACACTCCACAGACTTGCCCTGATGTATCTAACTTCATCGTATTCACTCTTAGTTCAAACTGCCTTCGGGTATCTATGTCATAATCAGGAAAATGAGATGCAACATGACGTACCCAGCATCATTTTGTATATATATATTCGAGGGTGCACGCCTTTGCACAAACAATCATGAACTGCATGATAATTGAGTACTGTCTCCCTGGGATATTTTAAGCGTCTCCGATGACCCCAAACTGAATTATCCCGCCTATTGAGTAGTTTGTGTTAGTTAGTTAGGCTATCCATTAGGGAGCAGCGTCTCGAGGTCACAGGTAGGAACTGAGGTCTAAACCAAAAACAGATGAATGCTGAAGAGATTAACGGTACTTCATTCTTTAAATGTGTTACTTTCCCTTATCACTTCTCATTTACGCAATGCGTCCATGGGGTCTCATTAAGCCCTGGTAACGGACAGCTTTCTAGGTTGTGCTTTTAGTTGGGGTGTTTGATGACAGAAGTGCAAAAGGTAAACGGAAAGCTGAACTGAGCGACCAAAAGCAGACAGACACATGACACCGACACCGCAGCACAGATCAATTATGATTTAGTTCGACGGATCGATGTCACATGACGAATAAAATAGCTAGAAATCCTTTGGTCAGTCAAGCATTTCGGTCCCTCACTTGAGATTCACTTGTGCTGATTTGGTACCGTGATAGTGAGTGCTACTCATTACGGAGAATCTATGCAGAGTTAATCGCGAGGTTTCTTGTTTCCAGTTTGTCCGGCAGGAATGAGAAGGGAATTCGCCTTCTATTTTAAGCTGTGATTAATTGATGTTTTTACGATCTACCACCTTGCTTTGAATAAACTAGGTTCTGCCCAGAACACTGCTGTTAACTGGGTCGCATAGTCGCCCCTACTCAAACGAGCAGACGGAGAGAGGTAATATGGTTCCTGTCGTGGACAGTTAAACTCTTGATAGAGTATTAGAGTTCAG